GCACTGCATGGCATTACTTCCTAGGTCTCCATCAAATTGGAGATTAATCCCCCTTGCAGGCAGTAATTTTTTTGTTTGCTTTTTTAAGTGCTGATGCCAGAACTGTATATAGTATTTTGGTAATGACTTCAACCCACCCCACACAGGCAAGAATGTATCTCTGCCCATTCCATTAAGGCATCTGAGAACTACATTTGCTTCCTTGTCACAGCATCACCTTGGAAACTCACGTTTAAGCTGTTTATCCACTATGACTCCAAAATGCAGTTCTGCCACTGCTTTCTTGGATATCATGTGCCTTAATTTAAATTCAGCCGAATTGCCTTGTTCCCAGATGTACAGCTTTACATACGGCAGCCTTAGCACACACATCCAAATGGATCTACTTCACCTGACAATCATGATGGCTGCCTTAGTGCTATTTGCCTTTCCATGAGCCACATTTTTATCATGCAAAAGTTCTAAAGCAACAGACAATTTGCACCAACAAAATTAGTCATGAAAGCAAATTGTGACAAGCAATTACCAGTTTTTGCTGAACATCCATGGAAACTATTTTCTCGTACACCCCAGGACTAGTCCTGAACTATCCTGAATTGAACAGCATTTACAGGATATAAAAACTAGTGAATATCAATAAGGTCCTCAACATCAAGACAGATCCCTTTAACAAAGTCTAATAACACATGTAACAAGCTCTTGTTTCCTTAAAGCCTTATTTACTACGATTAATTACATACTTTTCTCTCCTTCTTAACGAAATTCTGCACTAAGAATAAATGGGAGAGCTGCTAATAATGTAAACTACCTATGTATTAACACCATGCAGTGCTAGTCAAATATACAAGGTAGCTCAGGTATGTCTGCACAGCATGGCATTACTAGCTGCCTTGTTCATCCACTCCATCTCCCTTTAATACTGATATATCAGCACTTCTCCAACCTCCTGGAATTTCCCTAGTGTCCCGAAGTGCAACTATACGATATTCCTTCCAACACTACAGCTAGGGATATTCCAGTGTTAAAGGTGGAAAAAAATACACTGACCAAGGCAAACATCTCTCTCACTTCCCAATGTACCTTGGTGGTGGGGGTTTTTTGGTGGGGTTTTTGTTGTTTTGTTTTAGGTTTCGCCTTGTGTTTGGTTTGGGTTTTTTTAGGTGTTTTTTCTTTTTTTTTTTTTTTTTACAGAAAACACCACAACAGAGGAATTTCAGAAGCTTTCAGAACAGCAACATAATTCTAAATACCTGAAAGAGGGAGTAAGGATTACTTTGACATCCCAATTAAGGCAAGTAATATTCTTGATATAATTGGACCAAACTACTTTCTCCTCTACTTTACAGATAGCTACTTTACCTGCTGATGTTTGAGACTCATACAAGCTTCTAATCGTGATGCATATTAATACAGACAAAGGTGTATTTCATGCTCCAAACAATCTGTGATTTGGCTTCTGTTTTGTTAGAATTTGACAAGTTCAATGATGTCAACAGAAATTTTTAGATTCTGGGGAAAAAAGAAGAGAGGTAAAGTAAGATTTTCAGTATAAGATGAACTTAGTTCACAGTCTCTTTACATTTGAGTGAAGCTTTTCAGTGAAACCCATGAAGCTTTAGAAACTTCACGAGTTTGTTTCTGTGGCAGAGAAATAAGATGATGCTGATAGGTGACTGATAAAATATGTATTTGGGCACACTACCTGAACTACAGGATGTAAAGAAACCACCATCTAGCACAGCTTGCTGCACTATTACCAGCAGAGTATTCCTCTCCTGTGTTACCTGGTCAGCATGTCCTAACTGATCCCTATACCTCTTGTGCCTTTAAACACTTTTAAACATACCTGACCTCACCTCTTAGTACCAGCTCCACAGAGCACATTGAAATCCTTAGGTAGCTGACAGCAAAAAGTGGGAAGGCTGGAACTGAAGGTGTCCAAAAAAAAAGCTTTATAGAAGAAATGCAACTGTAAACATCTACGACTTACAACTTCATCTGTAGGAATAGGTAAGGAATAATTCTTCATGAATTCATTCTATCACAGCTCTCCCCTAAGTAACACGTTAGCTGCATCGTTCTTGAGACCTGTTTCTGTACTACTTCTGTATTTTCACCTGTTAAGAACAATATTGGAAAGACATTAAGACTTGACAGTTCCCATGTTTCTAAAATACTAAATGAGGGAAACTTCACTTTAGCTTTAATATATATTAGACACCAAAACTGAGTTGTTCAGTGTAGTTACCTGAAATGTTAATATGACCTGAAACATAAAACTCCCTACCCACCTCATGTTTATTCTGCTCTTCTTTTCAAGGTTAATTTTGTTAATCAGGAAATACTGATAGCACTGAGCTGAGCAGCTACTATTTAGTTTTTGTACTACATAAGTCTAGAATAAGCATATCTCACTTAATTCCTGAAGAATGATGGATTATTGGAAAGAAGTGGGAGAAGCAGCAGAACAGGGTGTTTTAAATGAAAATCAAATATCCTTCAGTACAAAAAAAAAGCAACATCTTCAGTTACAGTCAGGACAGGACAAATACTCTAAATTTCAGCAAAAAATCTGAAAAAAAACAAACCCATATTCTGAACCATTTTTATAAGCAGTAAATATAACCTCTGAACAAAAAAAAAAAAAAGGAAATTTCCTGGATCTGTGTGCGTCTCTAAGACCCCGTAGCACTGCAGAGCAGTAGGACTTGATACTGTATTGAAATTTCAAGGTTTAGTACAACAAAGACTGAACTGGGCATCTGAACTAGAGCCAGATGGATGAACAGAGGTTTGAAGTTAAGCAAACAAATCAGTACAGTTCAGTAAGCTAACACAAACAAAACAACCACCAAGTCAAAGCTTTGGTTTCTCTCAGCTCCAGTGTGGAATCTGAAAGCTAGCAGTTCAGCCAGTGGGCACCTTCATGTGTGCAGGTAGCAGCAGTGACAGTTCCTTATTACACATATTTCTGGAGCACGTACGAGCACAGGAAAAAGCAGCATTCACAATTCTAATGCTCTACTACTCCCCTCAAGCATTCCCTTTCTGGTAAAGAAGGGGTAAGAGAAGCAAGAGTTGCCAGGATAGGTGAATCAGGGACTTTTTAAGCAAATATATCAATATAGATAATATTTCTGAAATAGCTAACGTACAAAGAACGGTTCAGACAGAGCAGAAAGAGCTATACAGAGGTCAGAGCTCAACACAAGTTGCTGCTACAAGTGATGAAGAACCTGCCAGAGTATGAGGGATAAGGGCAAGTAACAGGTTGGCTCCTTCTTTTCAGAGAGTAGATAAGCCTGATAAAGTGCAACATCCGGCTTCCAAAAATCTTCATGAGAAAAGCAGTAGTTCTTGGACATGAAGGGGAATAGAAGAAATTAAATTCCAGAGTAGGCTCTATACAGGAATTCCTAAGCAAGTCAGTAGTCACATCTAATTAAGATTTTTTTTTTCTGGGTAAATGCTGAATAAGGAGAAGAACAACGTGGGTCAGCTTCTGGCATTTTCAAGAGAATAGCAATGGTACTGCATCAGGCAGGTATCAACCTGCAGCCACAAGAGCTGGTAACGATACACACGTATTAGCTGTAGTTCATATTCAAGATACAGCCTGCTAATATGAAAAGCAGTTCATGAAATAGCTCTTTCCTTCAATAATGCTGCAGGCACGAGTTGCCAGCAAAGTTAATGCTGTAGTGACGGTTTCCCAAGCTCTGTCTGAATTAGATGAGACTCGCTGTATTATTTCAGTGGCAGGGCCACTTGAGGCTATATGAACTCAAGTTTCACATCTTTTGCTCAGACTTTAAGCCTCAAAAATATTCCACAAAGTTTCAAGAGTGTCAATGAAGCCACTCTGTGCATCCTAATAACCCTTCTTATGTACAGTATAAGTAGAGACGACATTAAAATTGAGCTAGCATCCAGAAGAAAAACAAAATGGAAGTTAAAAAAAAAAAAAAAAGCATTGCTTTGCCCTTATGCTAAAATTTCTCCTTCCTTCAGTTCTCTTGATGTCTTCTGTTCTAAAGTAAAATGTTAGATACGGCTTAAGTAAGAACAACAGCTTGAATACAATATGGAGCTATTTCTTATACCAACAGGCTCCTACAAATTCAACAGGCTCCGCAGAAGCAGAATCAACTGGAGAACTTGAGAAAATATTTGCATGCTTCCTGCACTGAAACAAAAAACACATATACTGGAAGCGGTAAACAGTATTTCAGATGCTTCTAATGACACCTCTGGAGTTTATTACCAGAATTCAATAACTGGCAGGAGGTGAGGAACAGCCATGCATTTATTTAAGGGGGGGGGGGGGGGGGGGGGGGAGAGAAGACTGGGTAAAAAAAATGGGAAGTCACAAACAGGAAAGCGAGCTCATTCTCACCAGCAGGCAAGTCTTGAGGATTACACCAAACAGAAAGGGATGCGTATAACACGACAAAATCCCTGTATCAAAGTAATTTCACAAAGCTAAGGCAAGGCCAAATCTGACACCGTATAAATACATTTACTAAAGAAATTTAAAGTTGACGTAGAGAACAAAACGCAAACTGTTTAGAAACAGAGCCTGTGCGATTTCCTCTTCTGCATCACAAAAAGAATCGGGTTTTGTGCTTCGCTTCCCCCCCCCCCCCCGCCGAACAAACCCATGCAAGAGAGGGAATAAAACCGGGTTTTGTGATGGGCTTTCGGGCTCCATCCCTAAGCGAGAGCCCGGCTGCGGAGGGCGGCCGCAGGGAGGCCGGCAGCCCGGGCCAAGTGGAAGCCAAGTGACACAATTTGTCGCCGGGTCGGTGGCACCCCAGGTCCGGCCCTTGCCGCCCACCACGCCGCGGCGGCCCGAAACCCCGCGGGTGGGGTGGGGGTGTGGGCGTGGGGGGGGTGCACCCGCTCTCCGGGAGCGGAGCCGAGGTGAAGGGGGGGGTGATGGGGGGGGGGGGTGTTGGGGGGGGGGGGGTTGGCGGCCGGGCAGCGCGGCGAGAGCGGGCGCCCCCCAGCCGTGCCCGCGTCCCGGTGCTGCATGGCGCTGCTCAGCCTGCCTTGCAGAGGGAGCTCGAGTCCCGCTCTGCGCCTCGCAGCGCCTCTCACTCCGCAGCACACGCCAGCGCAGCGAGGCGGCGGCCGGCAGGAGCGGGACACGCAGCCGCCGCCGCCGCCGCCGCCCCGCGGCCGGGAACCGGCCGGAACAGCCGAGGGACGCGAACGGGCGGAGGGCGCCGGGGCCGAGCACCGCAGAGGTTCGCGCGAAGACGGGGCGGGGAGGGGGGGGGGGGAAGCGGCGGCGGCGGCGGGTGGGGAGCGGGCCCGGCTCGGCGGGGCGGGGAAGGCGGGGGAGGGGAGGAGGAAGGGACGGGAGGGGAAGGGAAGAGGGGGGTGTGGGGTGGGGGGGGGGGGGGGGTGTGCTGGCGGCTGGCGTGGCGGGGAGGGGGCGGTCATCAGCCCCGGTGGCGCGGCGGAGGAGACAAAGGAAAGAAAATGGAGTCGGGGCCGTTGGCTCGGGCGGGCAGGGCCGGCGGGCAGGGAGGCCCGGGCGGGCCCGCAGCCCAGCGCCGCGCTGTGGGGAATGGCGGCGGTGGCAGGCAGGCAGGCGCCGGCCGCGCTGGGGACGATAGAGGGAGACAAAGCCCCCTGCTTCCCCGGCGGCGGCCGCTGCGGGGCCCCAGCCGAACCGGAGCCCCATCGTGACACCTAGAGGCCGGAGAAAGCGACTGCAAACCCCCCGCCGCCAGCTTACCTGCCGCCCGCACCCCGCCGAGCTTCGCTCCGGCCGCCGGGCCCCGCCGCCGCCCCGCGCCGCCCCCGGGCCCCGCGGAGCCGCCGCGCCCCGCACGCCCCGCCGCGGCCGCCGCCAGCGCCCAGCACCAGCCCGCGGTTTAATCGCTCCACAGTCGCTTCGGACACAAAATGGCGGCGGGCGGGCGGAGTGCGCCTGCGCCAGCGCGGCTGCCGCGGCCGCCGGCCGGAGCGGGGGGGGGGGGGGGGCGGGTGGGAGGAGGGAGGGCGCGCGGGGAAGCGGCGGCGCGGGGCAGGCTGGGAGCCGGCGGGCGGGGCGCGGAGGGGAGGGAAGGGGGGGGGGGGGGGGGGGGGGGGGGGGCGCGGCAAACGCGCGCCAACTTCAAACGCGGGCGTGCGTCGGCTGTGCGTGCGTCGGTGCGTCACGCGTTGCTGAGGGCGGGCGGTGGCGGAGAAGAAGGAGGAAAAGGGGGAGGGGGGGGCCGTCATTTTCCCGGCCCCTCAGGGGAGCCCGGCGGCGGGACGGCGGGGTTAGGCGTCCAAGCAGAGCCGGTGGGCTCGCTGGGAGCTGCTGCCCCTCCGGCTCTGAGGGCCCGCTGCCTTCTCCCGCAGGGGTCCCCTCCAACACCCCCGCCTCTCCTTAGCTTCACATAAAATTCAACCCCTTCTTTACACCCTAAGGAAACTTTCAGGCCCAGCAGACCGGCACCCCCGCGGGAAGGAGTTCCTGAAGGGGGGCAAGGCTACAGCAAAAGTCCGCGCTGAAATTGTGTGCCTTCCTCCGTGCTGAGGAGGGGTTTGCCGGTTTAAACACCGAAGCTTTCCTTAAGGCGCAAGAGGAGTCGATACTGTCCTGAATTAATCGCTGGGAAAGCCGTAGGGCGATTTTATAAATGCCAACAGGTTACTGGAATTAGATGGTATTTGCCCGGTGGCTTTAAAGCACCTTGGGCTTGCCAAGCTCGTAATCGAGTGGGGCAAACAGCTCAAGTTAGCTTCAGCACTGCAGGAATGGTCAGTGTGGTGCCAGGTATTTAGCAGGGAGCTTCTAGGGAAGTTAACAGGGTTGGGTCCTGCCTGGGAGAAGTTAAATGCCGCAGCGTTTGCTGTCCCTGACTTTCCTCCCCCACCACCCCCAAAAGGTGGAAACAGCCTCAGCATCCGTAGTGAAATGCACGAATTTATATGAGAAAGCACGGGGGGCTCGCGTGTCTTTCATTTTCGGCAGTTTCCTGTGTTGCTGAATCTTCTGGGTTTAACGTTCTTTGTCATCTCCAGTAGCGTTGTTGCCGACCCATAGCTGATTGACAGGCAAGCAGAGAGGAGGGAAGAATTCTATGAGCTCGTGCTGCATCCTCATTGTGCTTTCTTACCACAAAAAACGTGTGAAATGGAGCGAGGGTAATGGGTTAAAATATTAATAGTCCAAAAATAAGATGCATTGGAAGGAAGCTGCGGTTTTTGCTCCTTTTACCTCTCAGTCCCTGGAGGGCAGTAAGGCCAGGAATTCAGGGAGAAGACTACGTGTAAAGTAAACCTCGACACAGGACCTGTGCTAGTGGGACTAAAGGGTGGCTGTTACAGCTGGAACTGGTACTAAAAATCCTGCCCCTAATTTTTGCCTTTTGAGATGTCACTGCAGGGCAGACTAAAAGCTGTTCAACAGCCGAGGCTTTACCCTGACCTGCTTTACAAGGGACAAAACCATCAAACAAACATGGCATACATTAACGTGTAAACTGTGCCCTTAAATCCTGGTCTGAATAATGCTTATGTCTTGTTGAGCTGTGTGGCGAAGAGGAGAAGTGTCTGCCAGGCTCCTGCTCTGCGAGGAGGCAGTTGGGCTGAGGGGTGGTGGCGAGTGAGAAGATCGGCTCCCGACCCTGCTTTACGGGTTTCTCCTGCCTGAGCTCTCCCGGTCCTTGCAAAGGAGCAGGGCACGGGTGGCAGTGCCGTGGGCTGCGCTGTGAGTACCGATAGTCCTTTCGGGGATGTTGACAGCCGAAACCGAGTTCCCTCCTGAGGATTATGACACCGAGCCGAGTCCATTAATTCGTTACAGCTGGGGAACTGTAACTTACAGAGCGGCCAGAGGGGACGAGCTCCGTTGAGTCACGAGCATGTAGCTCTGTTTCTTCAGCCTTGGCTGGAGGAGAAAAAGATCAGTTACAAAGCAATGGCAAAAAAGTGACCATTAATTATGAGGTGACAGGGTGTAGCCCACAGCCATGACCTCTGGGGTCTTCACTGCATGAGAAATTTGAGTCATACAAACAGAATATCCTGAGCTGGAAGGAAACCACGGGGATCTCTGAGTCCGACTCCTGTTGGACTATCAAAAGCTTTGCTAAAATCCAGAAAACCCACATACATTGCCTTCTCTTCATCCACGAGACAGGTTGGTGTAAAACGAAATTAAGTCAGTACGGCATGAAAAATCTGCTAAGAACATTTCTGGGGGAATGAGATTCTGTAGTGTGAATTTTTAAAAAAACCATTTACATTTAGTCTAAGCTGTCAACCCATCAATTCTCATGCTGTAATTTGGGGGAGAACGGCGTATCTTTCGTGTGTAGCCATGAATCCTGCTTTAAGCTCAGAAATAAGTTCAGGCACGAATCAAAATGGAGGGGAGCACTGGCTGTGTGTGAAATTGCTTCTTATGCTCCTTTAAACACTCACACAGGACTGGGAGTAAAGGAGTGCTCATGACCCCTCTGCCTTTTGTTCGTAGTCATCCTATGGCAAAAGGTCACTTGTTTTTTGCGGTAGGAATGTCGATGCTTAGGAAGCAGAAGTTGTTCTGGCAACCACCCATCCCCGGACTTCTCCTGCCAGAAGCATCCCAGACCATCCACTGGCATGTGCCTGGGGTCTGACCTATTATTGGTCTTGGGTTTCTCACTTGGAGGCGCTTTTGAGCTGATTTGCAGAGGATTCAAGCCTCCAGCTGCTCCAGTCCTAATTGCGGGTGCTCCTAAAAATCAGCCTCCAAGCGTGTCCAAATTAGAAACCCGGAGGCAGATGCTCTTTCTAGAAAAGTTGCCTGAGCGAGGCCTTTCCCAGGGACACCTTGCCCGTCAGCAGAACGGCAAAAACTGAAGCTGAGGAGCTCCTGGCCGCCTTGCTGAGGCCCCGGGTGAGCCCACCCACCTCGTTCCCTGCTCTTCCCAGCTCCATCCTTCCAGCACCCTCGTGCTGTATGAGCCCTCGGGAGTCACCACCCCTCTCCTCGCTCAGCTCGAAGGAGGACAGTGGTCGAGTTTGAGACCGAGTGTTAAATTCAGTTTCGGAGACTGCCCGGAGCACACTTTGGTCTCTGTGTGAAATGAGGCCCCAGCTGTCACCCTAGGAGTGGGCCTTGGAGAACAAGCCGGTACGTATGTGCCTGACAGCCCCGCGAGGAACATGTCAGTGATCACGAGGAGGTGGTTGCTTTGCTGTGGTTCAACGCAGACTACTTTGCTGTTCAAATCCTATCTCAGTTCCCTACTGAATGCCCTGGAAACATGATTCCAAACAAGCCTGGGGTAAGGTCAGAGGTCCAACTTGGAGGCTGCTTAAACTGGAGATTTCCAAATTACAACACCCCCCCACACCCCCCCACACCCCCCCAAAAAAAAAAAATGACTTGGCATCAAGATTTGGGTCATTTCTTACATGAGGGCTGATTGGAGCCCGTGGCACTCCGAAGTGGCAGCTTCTGCTTGGGGTCATCCTGGCTGGTGGGTGCTTCTCGGTGTCACAACCCACACCCTGGGCAGCTCAGCCAGCCCCGATGCCGCCCAAGAGGAGGGTACCTTGGCTGATCTGCTATTTTGTGCTGATGATCTGCAGGGGCTCCTCAGGACGCTGCCCTGAAACCAGCAGTTAAAAACCGATACCACAGAGCGCTCCAGAAACCATATGCACCCCTTTAATTAAAAAAAAAAAAAAAAAAAAGCAGCAAATGGGGAAAAGGAACATCTTTCCAAAGCCGGAGCACATGGATAATGTAACCGTGACACAGACACCCTCCCACGGGCTGCAGCTCCTACAAGAAAAGCAAGTAGCTGCTGAGCACAAGCACGTCCGTACGGGAGGGAGATGTTTTAAGCGCTGACACAGATTTGGCTGACAAACATGGTGCTGGCACGCTGTCTCCTTTGAAATAGCAAACAGGCTGCCGCAAAACGCGCTCCGCGGTGCCGTGTCTGTCCCCGGGTGCTGTGAGAGTGGCTCCCAGGGAGTTCACGCCACGAAGCGACGTGGTTCCTGCGCAAGGGCTGGAGGAGATGTTCGGTCCCAGAGGGAAAAGCTGAGTCCCCCGCCTCCTTCCAAACAGCTAGCTCTTGTGATTGTTGTCCTTCTCCCCAGCCCTAAAAAAGCCAAAACCCAAGCCGATTGCAAACTGCAGTGAATGGTTTTAGTGAGTGCTCTCCAAAAAAACAAGACTTTTTTGGAAAGTTTAGTCCAGTTAACATGGCAACCCTGCAATTCCAGGTGGCCTGGCAGTGTCTGTGGGGCAGAGACCCATTCAGAGCAAGGGGCTGGGCAATCGGTTCCTAAATTAATCTGTTCGGGGTGTTTTTCCCCAGATATTTTTAAAGCCACATAAATAATGAGATTATTCCTTGCGCTTCCAGAAGCAGAGTCATTTTGTTCTGACCTGCAGCTCTCTGCCTGCCCTGACAGAAGGCTGCTTTCCTCCTCCAACCTCAAGGTGTAGCTTATCTTGAAAAGTGGTATTGTGCTGCAGGGCTGGGGCTAGCTTTCAGCAGGGCGAGGAGGACACCCACGTAGGTGAGTGAATGGAATTCGTGGCTCTGGCCACTGGAGCACTGGGCTGGTTTTATTCCCCGGGAGTTATTGAGGGGAAAAAGAGACCAAAGATGGCTGGGCCACTTTCCACCTCCCAGGTGCTCTTGTCTGCAGCTGTGTGTGCCAGCCGGGACCCACATCCCACCTCTCTTGCTGCCTGGAGCTGACGGTGTGATGCAGTGCTTTGGGAGAAACACAGCGCTTCCCTCCCGGGGCTTTTCCAGCCCCTGAAGCGGGTGGGAGAAGGCTAAGCGAGCGGTGATGCAGCCAAGTGTCCCCTGGCTACCCCTTTCTCACAATCCCATCTACAGACGAAACCACATCCAGAAGTGGTTACGCTGAGGCAGTGTCCCACCTGCGCCACCCCGCGCGCCACCACGTGCCGAGCAGCGCTGGCACGGAGCTGCGCGCTGGCCGTGCCCCTGTGTGCCCGGCCACGCGTGGCGTTCTGCCCGAGCCAGCCCAAAAAGCTTTGCCCCAGGGAGCAAAAAAAACACGGAGGCTGCAACCTGCTGGGATTTGCTTAGAAAGCCCGGGAAGCACTGAGGGGCAGACCCTGCTCAGCCTGAGGGGCCATAAATCCCCGGCACTGGCAGTGCCAGCGCGGTCGCTGCCCGCTCCGGTGGGGTCCCTGCCTCTGCTGCCTTTTGGGGCATCTTTGCTGCTCTAACCCACTCCCCTCTCAGGGGCACAAGGGCCACTGAAATGATTAAGGGATTGGAGCAGCTGTCATATAAGAGGAGGGTGAGAGAGCTGGGACTGTTTAACTTGGAAAAACAAAGGTTGGGGTGGGGTTTCTTATCCGTGTCTGTTAGCACCTGGTGGGGGTAAAGGTGGCAGAGGCAGATGCGCCTCGGTGGTGCCCAGTGAAAGACCAAGCACCAAATTGGAACTGAATTACAGGCTTTCAGAAACTTCAGGAAAGCTTTTTCTGCGAGGATGGTCAAGCGCTGGCATAGGTTGGCCAGAGATGTTCTGGCATCTCCATCTTTGGGGATACTGAAAACCCAACCAGATGTGGTCCCCAGCTCTAGCTGACCCTGCTCTGAGCAGCAGGGGGTGGATGAGCATTTCCAAATGTCCCTTCCCGCCTCAATTATTCTGTCGTTGATCTGGTGTGGTTCAGTGATGAGGCTCGCACCAAGAAGTGCCGAATCTTTATGGGAATGGGTTTGAAAAAGCAGTTCAGCTGCGTAAGCTCTGGCCCCGGCTCTCTGGCCCCCTGCTTTTGGGTCAGGCGCTGTGGTGTGTGCCCACCACAGATACAGAAGACAGTAGAAACCGGGGCTGCCCTGGTTTTGGTGGCTCCCGGGGCTGGGCATCCCCGTCGTGTAGCCCCAGTGTGGCCACCCCATGCCACCCCGGGTGATGCCTCCCATGCCCGGCAGCCAACGTTTGGCAACATCTCAGCAACTCTTGCAAAGCTCAGGGAAGGTGGAAACTCCTTCCGCTGCTGAAAAGGAGAAACTTGCTGGTGTAAACCTGCGGTCTTTTCGGTGAAAGCGAAGCCCACCATGGGAGCGGTGTTGAGCCTCAGCTTTCCAAGCACCTGGGAAAACCCCGGCTGAGCCCAGCTTTGTCCCTCCGTCCAGAAGCATTCCTCCACCCATTTATGAAGACAACGTTGGAAATGGCGTTTTAAATCCCTGCAGTGACAGCGTCCCTGGAAGGCAGGACAGAGAGGCATGCTTGTGGGACCGGGCAGTGCCAGAGAAATCCTTTCTGCTCCGGTTGTGCCAAGCTAGGAGGGCCAAGAGTTCCGTGCCCTGGGCTGGGTGACAGGTCCCTGCTTTCCTGCACATGGGGCCGTGAAGGGCACCCAGCAGCCCCCCACCCCCCCAGTGCTGGCTCCGACTGGAGCTTGCTGGTGGCTGAGGTGCGGGGCAGGGCTGCACTTGGGCAAGGCCAGACATCACGATTACACCCCCTGAGGCCACCCCCCACCACCCTCCAGCCTGCTACGCTCATCCCCAGCTCACCCGGGGCCAAAGAAACACCCGCACAGCGACACCGTCACTCATTAAAGGTTTGTTTTTATTTCTGGTTTAAAATCAAAATTAGTCGTTCTCTGTAATTACATTATATATAGATTTATAGAGACATTATAGAAAAGAATTTTTTGCTTTCGTTTTTTTTCTGCAAAACTCTGTAAATAAAAAATAAAATAAAACAAACAAACAAACAAACAAAAAAAAAAGAGGTGTGGCCGCTTCTGTCCGTCCGTCTGTCCGTCCCTCTGTCGCTCCTCCTGCCCCTGCCATCCGCAGCACTTCCCAGCAGGCCAGGAAAGGCTCTGGGCTGGGGCCACATCTCACTACGCTCCCTACAGCCACAGCCGGGGAGGGACAGGAGCACGTGGAGCTGGAAAGAAGAAACGCCAGCAGAATATATTAATATCTCATATTTCATTTTATTTAAGTCCTGGCGACTCCAGGTGGCAAAGGGCAGCAGTCCCCATGGCCCAGGCAACTCCTGGAAAAGAAACGGTGTGGTTTCCAAAGTGCAGGTCCTTCCGGGGCAGGGCAGGTGCCCTCGAGCAAGAGGAAGGCAAGAGGAGGGCAGAGAAATCCCGTACATCTATCTCCCTGCCGCTCCGGTCCCAGCAGGCGCCGAGGAGGGCAGGAAGGGTGGGCTCCCCGTGCATTTTAAATAGCAACCAGAGGGTGGGATGTGCAGCCAGCTCCCCCCGCCCAGGGGTGCGGACGTGGCGCCCCGTGGGGCGGGTGGCAGGGGGAAGCGGTGCTCCGTAAGGCAGCGTGCGGGCCGCGGCAAGCTGCCGCCGGGGGTAATACTGCGGTGTGCTGCCGGGAGCGGGAGCTGCCGGGTCCCGGCCGGCCCCAGTCCCTGCGAGCCCGGGCGGCCCGGTGGTGCCTCGATCCTCAGTGGGGTGGCAGCGGGTTTGCGTGGCGTCTCAGAAAGCTGTACTGGCCATGCTGGCTGGTGCAAAGATCCTCGGGAGGCTGTCCAGGGTCTCCTCCAGCCGCCGGTGAGCTGATTTACCATCTTCCCCTGCAAGTACGTGCCACGGTCAGTGAACTGAATTGCAGCAGCTCTGTCCCCTGCCCATCCCCAGCCACCTTCCCCGGCCTTTCCCGGGAAACGTGGCTAACGCCTGGCAGAGCTGAGCCGGCGTGCTCCGGCCACAGAGTGGAGACTTCTCTAGTCCTCCTTAGCACACTCCTGGGCAGGTCCCGGCTGGGATCCGGCTCCGAAAGCCCCTACAGCTCCCCATTCAGATGTTGCAAATCCTGTTCTTCAGCTGCCTGCTGTACCCGTGCCCACGCGGGGCAGGGATCACGCACACGGGGCAGGGATCACCCACGCGTGGGCTGCAGGAGTGCTGGCTGGTGGAGAGCCTAGCTCGGGGCAAAGGGGCCAGGGCTCGGGGCTCTGCCGGCTCCGGCGTCCCAACCAGCTGTGCACATCTGCATGCACTGGCACGGGGACCCCGAGGGCTTCCCCAGGACCCCCGGACACACACACGGGGACGCACACATCCACGCTACAAGCTGGCCCCGAGATCTTCGCCCGGCACCCCCGAACACAAATCTGCCCGCAGCGGGCAGCCCCTGCAAGAGGTGGTGACACGGACAATCTGCTGGGACATGGGACACAAGGCACCTACATGTGCCGGGGTGGTGCCACGGGGACGGCCTCTATGGACAACCAAGACACACAGACTCCAAAACGTGACGTGGCTGACAGGCTCTAAGACGGAGACACTCGTGAGCAAAGCGGCAGGAGCAGGGACGGGGGGGACAAGGACAGCTCACGTGTCCCAACCTGTGCAGCAGCTGCCGCGATCTGGAGGCCTAGAAACCCGCTCAGATGGTTCTCTCAGTGCCATCTAGCAAATAATAAATAACAACCAGGCTCAGTGCTCCGTGGCCACGGGGTGCCTGGCCCTCGCTGCCTGCTGCCAGCTTGCTCTTGCCCAGCAGAGCTCGGGGCACGACGAGCCAGAGTGCGCAGGGTAGGCGGGCACCAGCCCGGGACCCCCTTTTCCTGCGGGTACTGGTGGCACTGGGGGACGCAGCTTCGGGATGCCGTGGGTGGGGAGGGAGCAGGGAGGAGCAGCGGGACACTCACCGCACAGCATCAGGCTCTGCTTGGCCGCCTCCCGCACGGGCTCCTTGTCGGTTTGGCACACGTAAACCAGCTGCTCGATGCTCTCCTTGGCCTGCGGGAGAAGGGACAAGGGGCTGAGTGGGGCTGGCAGCAGGGACACAGCTCGCAGGGGGAGGCAACACAGGGCGCTGCAGCCCCGTGGGGCAGGAAAGCCCCTCGCCCCTGTCCCTTCCCTCCCCCGTTTCCCTTCCTGCCCTGTCCCTGCCTGCTTCTCCGGCACGCTGGGGCCACCCCCCAGCTCCTCTCTCCTGGGAGCAGGAGGTTGTGCAGGTGTGTCCGGAGTCGCCGGCCACACGCGATTCCTCTTCCCCTGGAAAATGCAGCTCTGCTGCCCCCTCCCCGCATCCCCCCTCACCTTCAGGCAGCCCAGCGCCGCGCACCCTGCCACCCGCGTCTGCACCTCCTCATCCTCCAGCTGCTCCAGGTAGCACACGAGGGCCTGGGGGAGATGGGGGGGGGGGGGGGGAGGGTCAGCACCATCACCCACGGCAGAGCCCGGGGGGCAGCCCCCCGGGGGCTGTGGCACCGGCCCACCTCATCCCTGGCTTGCCCAGCACGTACCCGTTGGCGGAAGCGGGGGTTTTCTGCCAGGCTGCGGAGCTGGGCTGACACGGCGCTCACCACCTTGCTGTTGCCCTCCACGAGGAGCAGGCTCAGCGCCTTCAGCCCCTCCTTCTTCAGTCGGCCCTCGGGTACGCGCTTCAGGGCACGCAGCACCACGTCCTGGTCGTCCGAGTTGAGGTTCTGCGCCAGCAGCGCTGCGGGGAACCGCCGGCTGAGCCGAGGCGCAGCGGGGAACCCATCCCCGGGCAGCCTGCACCCACGCCGGGCAGAGGTGGCCCCAACGCAGGGGAGCTACTGGGGCACCCAAGCTGACACGCGAGGGACCTACAGCAAGGACCCAGGGTGCGCAGGAAGGCAGCGTGGGAGGGGGCTGTGCACCAGATCAGACCTACTTGCCCACCCCGAGGACGGGTGAGCCCCTACGGTGAGGCACCGGCACCCTGTGCCAGGGTTTAGGGAGGGCGGGAGGGCACCCACCTTCCTCTGCCAGCTCCATCATGTAGGTGTCAAGCACCAGGGCGCTGAGCGACTCGAAGTGGCTCCAGTACTGGAAGATGGTGACCTGCTCACCCTGGGCGCTGCCGGGTCGCCGGGGCAGCCGCCGATCCAGCACATCCTCCACCAGTTTCACACACACTGCGGGGAAAGGGCCGGGGTCAGGGCGTGCACCAGCCGTGGCCATCCCTCTGCGGGGCTCCTGGCACCCACGGGCCCCCACTCACGGTCACCAAGAGGGGCTGGCAACCCCAAACAACCCCGGGGGCGTCCGCTCACCGGTGTCGGCGAGGCCGGGGTGCCGCTCGCCGATGGGTGCCGCGTACTGGGCGCCGAGCACCTGCAGGAACCGCTCCACGGGGCAGGTGTAGACGTTGGGCACCTCCACGCAGCGGTCCCAAAGGGGCAGCACGCCCTCCTTCCGCGTCGAGAACTGCACCACTGCGGGGACAGGGGCTGTCAAGCCTCCCCGGGCCACGGCAGCAGGCGGGTGACTCCTGCCCAGCCCCGACGGGCCCCCTCGGCCGGCGTGTCTTTACCGTCGGCGGCAGAGCCGGCTGCTCCCCCTCGCTCCTCCGTCAGCTGGCACACGATCTCCAGCACCTGCGCCTCCCGCAGCAGCCTGTCCAGGGCGTACATCTCCTGGCACCGCAGGGGACCGAAGGTGCCCAGCTTCTGCAAGGCACGGCCAAACCTCAGCCGCAGAGCTCACCGCCCGCACCGCAGCCTCCCCAATTTCGGCAAGACACCCCTCGGTGCAGCACCCCCCCCCCCCCCCCCCCCCCAGGGGCTCCCCTCGCCAGGACCTCTCCGGCCCCCGTCCTCACCAGCAGCAGGCGGTTGCAGTTGTTGAGGTGAAGCACCAGGGCCTTATCCAGGAACTCGTTGCCGGTGCTCATGGGGTCGGTGCTGGCCTCGGAGCCGCTGCACATGCCGGCGTCGTCTGCCCCCGTCTCGCCGGCGCTGGGGGCCCTGCTGCCGCGCCGGGGTCTGCCAGCCCTCCTGCAAGCCAGGGAGAGACCGAGGCAGCGGGTCAGGGTGGGAAACCAAGAGCCCTTCCCCACCCCCAGGGGCAACGCTGGGCAGAGTTTCTGTAGGACCTACAGGATCATGGCATCAGGGCTGGGTGACGGAGCAGCGCCCAGGGGCGCAGGGTATACGGGGGCTGCCTCCCGGCCCAGCCCCACGGAGAGATGTGGGGTAGCACTGTGCTACCAGAAGGGCCAGATCCTGCTGCTTCTCAGCCTGGACCTGTGATGGGCCCATCTAAATGTGCCTGGGCACCCCGGCAGAGCTGGGCAGCCCCCCACCCCAACTGCCCCAGGGCTGCCTCCTACCCCGTGCCCCATCCCACGAGCCCCGCTGTGCACCTCTCCTCTTGGAGAGGTTCCTCCTCGGAGCCCTCCGAGTCCTCCATGTCGGAGGTGTTGAGGAAGCTGAAGCTCTCCAGTGCGTGCTCCACCGTCAGGCTGATGCTGGAGGCCCGGCTGAGGAAGACACCCTGCTTCTGCTGCAGAGGAAAGCACGGCGGGGTTGGATCCTGGCTCGCCAGCCCTGCCACCTGCATCCCTGGGCACTGCCATCAGGGATGGCCCTGTCCCCATTGTCCCTGGGCACTGCCATCAGGGATGGCCCTGTCCCCATTGTCCCTGGGCACTGCTAGCTGGGATGGCCTCGTCCTCATTGTACCCGGGCACTGCCTGCCAGGATAGCCCCATCCCCATTGTCCCCAGGCACTGCCATCAGGGATGGCCTCGTCCCCATTGTCCCCTGGCACTGCCAGCCAGGATGGCCTTGTCCCCATTGTCCCCAGGCACTGCCAGCCAGGATGGTCCCATCCCCATTGTCCCCTGGCACTGCCAGCCAGGATGGTCCCATCCCCATTGTCCCCAGGCACTGCCATCAGGGATGGCCTCGTCCCCATTGTCCCCAGGCACTGCCAGCCAGGATGGTCCCATCCCCATTGTCCCCTGACACTGCCAGCCAGGATGGCCTTGTCCCCATTGTCCCCAGGCACTGCCAGCCAGGATGGTCCCATCCCCATTGTCCCCAGGCACTGCCAGCCAGGATGGTCCCATCCCCATTGTCCCTGGGCACTGCCATCAGGAATGGCCTCGTCCCCATTGTCCCCGGGCACTGCCATCAGGGATGCCCTCCTCCCCATCACCCCCAGGCACTACCATCACGTATGACCCTGCCACCCTCATCCCTGGGCGCTGCCATCAGGGCTGGCCCTGTCCCCAATGTCCCTGGGCGCTGCCAGCACGGACAGTCCCGTCCCCCTCGCCCCCCCCGGGCACTGCTGGCAGCCCCTCACCAGCAGCATCTCCTCCAGGCGCTTGAGCTCCCGTTCGAGGGGCTGCAGCTCCGGGAACTGCCCCCGATAGTCATCCAGGGCCGAGCCCAGGATACTGATGGCTTCCTCCAGACCCGAATCCACCACCTTCCCCCGTGGCACCTCGGGGATGCCAGCAGGCAGTGGCGGTGCCGGGACGGGCCTCTCCTCCGAGGGGGCTTGCGCCAGCGCCGCGGGGACCCCGGTGCCGCAGCCACCCCGCGCCGGCGCCCGGCTCTGCACCGGCTCAGCCCCGCTGGCCTCCGCCTCGCAGGCGGTGGCCCACGCCACGGTGGCCCGGGGCTTGGCCTCGGCACCCCTGTCCTGCCCTGCCACGGCGCCTGCCCCCGAGGCGCTGGGGAGGGGGTCCGCGTCCTGCTCGCCCGTCCCCGCGTCCTCGGGGCTGGGCACGGGTTCCCAAGGGCTCTCCGCAGCTTTGGCCTCCATCGTGGCATCCACGCTGGCCTCGCTGATGTGGCTCAGAGTCCGGGAGTAGGGCACGTGCCCGTTGGCCACTGCATCCTTCTTACGGCTGCCCGGTTCCTCCGCCTGGCTCCCGGCGGGGGGGACGCTGATGCCCCCGGGCCCGGCCCCGGCCTCCTCCGGCTGCTGGGAGAAGGAGATCTCGATGGCGGGGGCGGAGGCCTGCACCTCGGGCTGCACGATGGGCTTGTGCGCGGCGTGGCGGACGCTGCCCGACAGCTGGGGGCTGGAGGAGTCGTCCGAGGATTCGGAGGAGATGGACCAGGCCGTGCCGTTCTCCAGCTCCTCCTGGCGCCGCAGCATGTTCTGGGGAGGGGGAAAAACGGTGTCAGGCAAGACCCTCCTGCCGCCCCTGCTCCCCCGGTTGCCTTCCCTTCAACCTGGGGGCAGGATCTGGCTGAGCCGGAGGGCACCGAGGCCGGGGGCACCACCCCGCCGCGGCTGCAAGGACGGCACCAGCTCACGGGGGGGCGGCGGCGGCGGCCGGCACGCCAACGCCGTGCCAGTGGTTCACCACCGCTGAGCCAGCCCCACGCCGACGCCACGCTAGCGTCACGCCAGCACCACGCTGACACCTTTCACGCCAGCCCCACACCGACGCCACGCTAGAGTCACGCCAGCACCACACCAGCACCACGCTGACACCTTTCACACCAGCCCCACGCCACGCTAGCGTCACGCCAGCACCACACCAGCATCACGCTGACACCTTTCACACCAGCCACACGCCACGCTAGCGTCACGCCAGCATCACGCTGACACCTTTCACACCAGCCCCACGCCACGCTAGCGTCACGCCAGCACCACGCTGACACCTTTCACACCAGCCCCATGCCACGCTAGCGTCACGCCAGCACCCCGCCAGCATCATGCTGACACCTTTCACACCAGCCCCACGCCACGCTAGCGTCACGCCAGCACCACGCCAGCATCACGCCAACACCTTTCACACCAGCCACACGCCACGCTAGCGTCACGCCAGCATCACGCTGACACCTTTCACACCAGCCCCACGCCACGCTAGCGTCACGCCAGCACCACGCCAGCACCACACTGACACCTTTCACACCAGCCCCACGCCACGCTAGCGTCACGCCAGCACCACACCAGCACCACGCTGACACCTTTCACACCAGCCCCACGCCACGCTAGCGTCACGCCAGCACCACGCTGACACCTTTCACGCCAGCCCCATGCCGACGCCACGCTAGCGTCACGCCAGCAGCACGCCAGCACCACGCTGACACCTTTCACACCAGCCCCACGCCACGCTAGCGTCACGCTAGCACCACGCCAGCACCACGCTGACACCTTTCACACCAGCCCCACGCCACGCTAGCGTCACGCCAGCACCACACCAGCACCATGCTGACACCTTTCACACCAGCCCCACGCCACGCTAGCATCACGCCAGCACCACGCCAGCACCACGCCGACACCTTTCACACCAGCCCCACGCCATGCTAGCGTCACGCCAGCACCACGCTGACACCTTTCACACCAGCCCCACGCCACGCTAGCGTCACGCCAGCACCACGCCAGCACCACGCCGACACCTTTCACGCCAGCCCCACGCCGACGCCGTGGCACAGCACACCAACGCCACCAGCGCAGGGACACGGACAAGCCTCCTCGTCACTACTGCTAGGTCAGACCCTGCCTGGCAGGATCAGGGTTCAGGGCATCAGCGCGGGCCAGCGAGTGGGAGACGAGGAGCGGCTACGGCTACTGTGGGACGGCCACAGCTCTGCGCTAAGCTACCGGCCGGCTCCAGCCCTCGCACTTACGCGGCCCTGCTGCGGCCATCTCCCGAGCTCGGCCGAGGAGACGTCGCTGCAGGAGCAGCTCTGGGAGAGCTTCTCGAAGATTGCCTCCCGAAAGGCGTCCAGCAAGGACCAACCGTGCTTGTCGGCCGCCCGCCCCGGGCTCTTGGGCAAAGAGAAGAGGAGCCGTGAGCGCGGGAGGAGCGGGCGCCGGGGAGCTGTGGCTGGAGAGGAGCCGCCCACCCCTGCGCCCGAGCGGTGCCACCCTCTGGGATGGAGCCTGGGCACGTCCCTGCGTGGACCCCCTGCATGGGCCACCTCTCCTGAGCAGCCCTGCCCGGTGCCACACTTACGTAGAAAGCCTGTTCCCGCAGGGACGGCGTGTCAGGCGGACTCTGGTTGTAGGTGGAGAACCTCTTGTTCACCGTGGAGGCCTTGTTGACGGTGCTGGCTGCCGAGGGCTGGTCGTCCTTGTCGAAGGGGCTGGGGAGGAGAGCAGGGAGGTGAGGGGTGGGCGCCAGCCTGGGGGGCTCTCGGCCCCGCTCTGCAGCAAACAGGGGACCAGGACCCCATCTCTGGTTGGAAAACCGCGGCCCATTTTGGGGATGGGAGCGAGCCCGAGGGAGGCCACCTCTGGCATCCCCAGCCCTGCCACGTGCTACCAGCAACGCCTGCTGAGATACTCACTTCCAGGTCACCTCCAGGCTGAGTTTGAGGGTGCCCAAGTCATTGATATCCACAGCCACCACCTGGGGCAGAGCCGCAAAGAGGTCCTTGGTCTCGCAGGACACGTTGCCCACCACAACATGGTTGGCCAGGCTCTTTAGTTCCGTCACCTGGAGAAGGAGAGGGAGGGGAGGATGAGATGAAGCCCCGGGCTTCATCTTCTCCGGCGCTGTTTGCATCCATGCTGTGTGCCAGGGTGCCACCACCACCAGATGGCCTCCTCCCACCCCAGTAAGGGTGAGGTTTCGGGGAGGTCCTGGAAGGAAGCCCTGCTGGGAAGCAGTGTGGTGGCTGACCCACGCCACCCCTGCCCGCTTCTGCATTGTACCTTGATGGAGAGGAACTCGGTGACGAGGGGCAAGAAAACCATTTCCTCGCTGTCCCACACCTGCTTGCTGTTCACCTCGATGCGTCCCCGCAGCTTCCACCGCTGCCGTCCGTACTTCATGAAGATCTGGGGGTGAAGAGGAGCGGGTAGGGGGGAGAGGATACAATACCAGGGTGGTGGGTGCTCTCTGGGTGTCCCCGGCCATAGCCAGGGACCCATGCCACCCACCACTGCCCTGCAACATGCTCTCCACGCCAGCGCCCGCCTACGCTCCCCAGGCACCCCAAGGACCACAGGGCAGGAGAAAAGCAGATCCCGACCCATACGGTCCCACCAACCTCATACTGGTCACCAGCACAGAGCCGGGCAAAGCCTGCCAGTCCTGCAAGAGAAGGCAGAGGGGCGTCAGGAGGCGGCAGGCAGGCAGGCAGGCAGGCAGGCAGGCAGGCCAGGGATGGAGCCGGACACGTTACCTTTCATCCGGACGTGGAACTCGCCCAGCTGGCTCTCCAGCTCATTCTCCAGCAGGCACATGTTCTGGGGACAGACGGACGGACAGCACCCATCAGCAGCCGCCCACGGCACCCAGCACCCCGCCAGCCCACCCCAGCTGGCTGCCTCACCTCCGTGTACTCCTTGTAGCCCTTGCTGGCCTCGGCCAGGCTCTCGCGTGCCTCCCGGCTGCCCGGCGAGCCCGTGCTGTAAGCCTTGACCATGTTGTGGGCTCCGTCGCGGAGCCGCCGCTGGATGCAATAAGCCTCGTAGAGCTCATCTATCTGCAAGGACGGGCCCGAGCTGCGGTGAGGGGCAGGGCAGGGGACAGCACGGCCATCCCAGCACCGCACCAAGGTCGCCCCACGGTGAGCCCCGGTCCCCAGCTCTCACCTTGCTCGCGTGGAACTCCAGGCGACGCAGGAAGCGCTCGATGGACTTCACTTGCTGGAAAAGCAGAGGAGGCGGTGTGACCCGCGGAGGAGCCCGCAGGTCAGGGTGCGCCCTGCTGCGTGCCCGCGCTGCGGCTGGGACGGGTCCTGGTCCCCAGCCCTTGCCCGGGAGGTACGGGGTGGCTGCACCCACGTGCTGCAGCATCCTCCAGCCTCCCCTGCTCCGGAGGGTCCCCCCCAGGAGACAGGCCGGGCTCCGGGGTGCTCTCCTCCCAGCCTCGGCACTAACCCAGGCTCAGCACTCACCAACAACAGCTTTTGTTTGCAAAGAGCGGGTTACAAGCCCCTGCCTGGCTATGCTTCACCCCCTGCCCGGACCCACCCTGCCCGCAGAGCCCCGATCCCACCCCACAGACGCTCTGTCGTGCAGGGGCCGGGGGGCAGGCAGCGGGGCGGCACAAGCAGAGAGGGGCTGGCAGTAGCACGTCCCAGGCACTAGGAAGGGGGAGACAAGGGGGACAGGGCACTCATCCCGCTTACCTTATCCAGGTCGTAGAGAAAACCCTGGAGGAGAGAGGAGAGGGATAAGACACAGCACAAAGCCAGCTCTGCCCACCCAAGGAGACCCAGCACATTGCACCCACCACCCATAGCACGTCGGTGGGGACGCGCAGCACCCGGCCAGGGCCGGAGCGTGCGTGACAGTAGCACAAGAGCCCCGTGCAGCCCACCACCAGAGCCCGGGCTGGCCCCCCCACAGAAGCAGGCTCTGTCCTGGGACACAGACGGACCGTGAGCTGCCCACAGCCCCGGCCGCCTGCCCAAAGCACCATTCCCTGTGAGGCTCTTCCCAAAAAACACTCACCAGGCGCGAATTCCTCTTGGACTCGCGGATCTGGGTGCTGAGCTTCTCCAGTTCCAGCTGGTGCACCTCCAGGTAGGCTCTGGGGGCAACCACACCACGGGGGTCAGGCTGGGACGCCAGGTCCAGGGCTCCTGCCACCCACAGACCACACCAAGCCAGCACAGCTGACCCCGCGCCCGGGCGAGGGAGCCCACTCGTGCCTCTACGTGGGACGTGGTGGGATGTGGGACCCCACAGAGCTCCAGGCCCCACAGGCACTGAGCTCAGGAGACCTGGCACATCCCTGCCTGGCGAGAGCGGAGAGCTGCCAACCCCAACCCACAGCAGGCTCTTCCCTGTGCCCCTCAGGGGCTCCCTGCCTCCAACCACCCGGCCACGGGGACACCCAGCACTTACGTCAGGCCCTTCTTGAGAGCTTCGTACACCTCGTCCAGGCGGTTGGGCTGAGGCACCTTCGGTGGTGGGGATTTGTGGGACATTGAAAACATCCTACTGACCCTGGAGCCAGTCTTGCGGGAGACGGTGGGGGTGAAGGGCGAGAGGCTCCTGGGGAGAGAGGCAGGCAAACCCGGGGCGGCCGGGGTCAGCACACAGCACCGGGGTCCGCCTGGGTGCCCCGGCCTGCCAGGCACCCTGTCTCGAGACAAGAAGAAGCTCTGGGATGGAGGCCTGGTCCACCCAGACCTGCTTGCCTCTCCCAGGACTCGCTGGCCCCCCGCTGAACTGGCCAGCGGGGGCTGGGTGAGGTGGGGCCGTGAGGCTGGGCAGCACTGCCTGCACCCAAGACCTGCAGCCCCCGCAATGTATTCGGCTGCCCCAAAGCCACGGGAAGGACAAGGAGGAACCCGAAAAGCTGGTGGTGAAGAGCAGAGAATTAACCCCGTCCCAGGGGGGTTGGAGAGGCTGGCTATGGGGCAGCCTCTGCGGAGGTGTGGGGGTCCCAGACGCCAATCGGAGGGAGCAAAGGCAAAAGGGGCACCAGCCGGAGCCAAGCTGAGCTCCTGGAGTGCCTGTGGGGACATCTCCAGCCCTGGCCACCCTCCGAAGAGGCCACGCTTTGCTCCATCACCAGCACCCCAGGTTGCCAGGGACACGGAGGCGCTCCCGGCGGTCTGGGCACTGTGGCAGGGTGGCACCTGCCACCCTCGGCTTGCTGCCCTACGCGCTCCCAGGGACAGGCAGGGACCCCAGTGGGTGGCAGCGTGGGAGCGTCCCGGGGACAAGCAGCCCCGTCACCCCATCACACAGCGCAGCGGCATGGGGTCGGGACGTCCTCACTGACCCCACGCCTCTCCAGGATATCACCAAACCCGCCGCACGGAGCTGCTGCCCGCCTTTTGCCTCCGCGTGCCCCACCGCCGTCTTGGGGACCTGCCCCACCAGTGCCCGGGACCCGAACACCACCCACCCTTCCTGCCTTGTGCAACGGAGTCGCTCCCCAGCCCGGCGAGCAACGCCCCGCTCAGACCGGCTCTTCCCTTCCTCCTCCCAACCCATCGTTGGGCCGCTGGTGCCCAGGAGACACCCCGGGCTCCTCGATTTCCACCCCCCGGGCCGGACCTCCCATCCTGTGCCGCTCTTTGCAGGAGCAGCCAAAAGACTTCCCCGAAACACCGGTGGGGGGAAATGAATGCCTTGGCCTCCTCCCAAGCCAGAGCGACAGCTAAGCACTTAATTTCCACCATCCCTCCTCATTCCCGTCCTCCAGGGCCCCTGGAGGGGGTCCCACAAGCATCTCCCACTTGGCTGCAGGCATCCAAAAGTCCTCCCTCTTCCCCGTCCCCAAGCGAGCGCTTCTGGAAGCCCCGGAGACGTGCCGGTGGCCTAGAAAGTGTCACTCGGCCCAGAGGTTGGACAGGACACGGGGACAAGAGCCGAGCAGGGCTGGAGGTCTGCTCCCAGGCACAGGGAGGCCCTGCCTGTGCTTGTGCCCACCCAGTGAAGGTGCCCGTAGCCTGGCAAGGCAGCTCGGCACTGCCTTCCCTGGCCATTCGGCTGGGAGGTGACTCTCCCCCCCCACAGCACTGGCGAGTGCACTGGGAGGTAAGGAGCCTCACTGGGCCCTAGGGAAAGGGATGAAAAACGTTAGAACGCTCTAATTCCCGCCGCCCAAACCCGTGGCCTGCCCACGTCCCGGGAGCCACCTGCGAGGGGGTAGCCAGGAGCACGGTGGCAGGGCTGAGCAGCGCGTGGGGCGGTTCTCACCGACGTGAGGTTCAGCAGAGAGGAGGAGGAAGGGTATGATGGGACCGTAACGTCGCCAGCGGCTGGAGAGGATGAGTAGGGAACGGCTGCTCCTCGCAACAACGCGGCTGACGGGCAGCCAATAAAACCTTTCAGCAACGGGTTCGAAATGACCCGGAGGAAAACCCTGATTCACGCCAGCACTCAAAGCCCGAAACCGGCCGCCGCAGGACGTCAAGGCCATTGAGACACAGCGCTTCAAAGCCACCCCAGCTCCCTCACCTCACCCATTAAAGATGATGAGATGGTCACAGGGAAGCTCCTAAGAGCTGGCCGAAGGAGGGGGAGCCCCCTCCATGCCCCAGTGGCAGCAGCCGCAGGGTCCTCACCCGGCCTGGGACACGGCACGGCAGTGGGTTGGGGTGATGGGCTCTGCCTCCCATCTGGCCTCGATGCTCCCTGCAGCCCCCCCTGCAACATCCCCTGGGTGCCACCGAGGTCCCTGAGGGAGATGCTGGGATGCCTCAGGACGCGCGGCAGGTCCCGCCACCCCACCCAAGCCTGTCCCCGTCCCTCGTGGCAAGCAGCACGAGCACCCATCTCCTACCTGAAGGGCCGGTCGGCCGTCGAGTTCACTCCAGCGAAGGACTGGCTCCTATTGATCTTGGTGACAAGGACTCGGCGCTGCGGGCGCACAGACAGTGACATCGTCGAGTGTGACCTGGAGGGCCTCCCTGGGGGGGGGGGGGGGGGGGGGGGGGAGCGAGAGAGCAGGGTCACCAGCAGCAGGGTGGGGAAACACGCGCAGGAAGGGCTGCCACCGAGACCGGGACGGGAACGGCGCCCACGGGGCGGGGTGGCTACGGCACCCATGGGCTGGGGTGGATGTAGCACCCACGGGCCGGGTGCCTTCCCTCACTCTCACCCGGGGATGCTCCCAGTGGCACTGGGGACACTGACCCCACGCTGTCCCCAGCCACGGTGTGGGCGCCCTGCCCTGCCCTGGGTGAAGCAGGGATCTGAACAACCGCGAACGCTCAGCGGGGACAGACGGACAGGTACGTCCCAGCTTGGCTCCCTGGGAGGCGCAGGAAGGGGCTGATGCCATGACCCTTCCTGGACACCACTGTGGCAAACCCTCCGCTGTGCCACCCCCCTCCTTGTCCCGCGTCCCCCCCTGCCACCCCGCTGCCCAGGCAGGAAGGGCGCGGGGCCGGACCCGGCTGCCCGGCCCTTCGCTGTCTCCGCTCTCTCTTCCGCTCGCTCCAGCGACCAGGAGGGAAACCCACCGGCAACAAAGCGCTTCGGAAAGTCCCCGGCTTTGCCAGGAGCTCTGCGTTGGGGAAGGAAAGGCCGAGCCGTTCCCTGCCGGACCCAGCACGTGTCCAGCCCCACGGCCACCGCAGCCCTTGCCCTCTGCTCCTGGCGGCGCCGGAGACGGGGCCAGGACCCCCAAAACCGCCATCCCCGTGGCAGTTGGTGCTGTTTCTGGCAGCCAGGACTGAGCAGATTTCCTGCATCCCAGGGCCTGGACACGGCTCCCACCCCACATCGCAGGGAGCATCGTTTTGGGAGGGCAGCCCAAAGCACAGGGGAAAAGCAGGGGTGCCCAGCACAGGGGAGAGCCCAGCCCCCAGCCCCAGCAGCACCAGCGACGGCACGGGGACGCAAGCGCTGCCGGGGCTCCTGCCACCATCCCCGCTCCTTCCCCCAGCACAGTGAAGCCCAGGAGTCCAGTTCAAACTGGCACACACCTGCTCTGCCAGTGGTGGGGATCCCCCCGGTGCCGCGCGCCCCACTGCCATGCCATCACCTCCCCGCATGCTGGGCCGGGGCCGGGCATTCGCAGCGCCCGGGATGAGCCAGGGCTGTTGGAATCAAAGCCAGCCACCGCCGATAACCTCCATCGCCGTGGAGCTGGGATGCAGCAGGTCCATCTGGTCCCCCCCTTGGCACTCGAGTCCCAGCCCAGGACCACAGAGCCCCTCTCTGGGTCCCACCACCTCGGTGTTATCTCAGTTCCAGTCCCCCCCAGTTTCCAGGACAACACTGTCCCAATTAAGCTCATTAGGAGGAGCTGTAATCCCTGGCAGCCCAGCTGATTTGCAGGGCCTGGGCAGATTACCCTCTGCAGGGCTCTTTAATCTGCTCCCCGCTGAGCGAGCAAGGCCCATGGCACCGGCACTGGGCGTTGCAGTGGCGTATGGAAAGCACCCACCACCCCTGCTATGGGGCTTGTCCACAAGTGGGGCAGGTCACAGCTCCTACGGGGTGAGCACAGCCTGCCAGCCCATGTTGCCATCTGGGGACACGGGGGGGGGGGGGGGGGGGCTCTAAGGAGGGTCACCCAGGCAGGAGCCTGCACCAGGGAGAAGGATGCTGGGGGTGTCGCGAGGGACCGATGCACCAGCACAACCCCTCAGGAGAGTCAGAGCAATCCCCAGCCACCTGCACCGCGCTGGGTCGTGCTCCGAGGCACCTGAGGCTCCCGCACTGGCATGGGGAGCGGTGCCCTGAGCGGGGGCTGCTGAGAGGACCACATCCCTCTGCTCTGACCCAGGGACCCCCCCAAGCACCCTCCACGAGGCCGGATCGCCACCAGGATGTGTGGCAAACCTGAGTTGGCCCCAAGGGACGGTGCAGCCCCGCCACTTGCTGCCAGCCAGCCCAGCGCCCCATCCTTGACTCTTCCAGGTCCTGCCCTGTGTCCCCAGGCCTGGCACCCCGCAGCCCAGCCCCCCCAGCCCCGTGCCAGGACACCGTGTCCCCTCTCTGCGGGAGGGAGGGATGCCCCGGGGAGCCCCAAGGATGCCAGAGCCCGGCACACGCAGGCAGCCGGCAGCGCTGCCTGCTTTGGGCAGGGCAGGCAGGGCGCCGGGGTCTCCGCTTCTGGCAGGCTTGGCTCACAGCAGAGGAAAAATCCCCGGCGTGGTACATTCCTGACATTACCGAGATAAGAGGTACCTGGTACCGGTGGCAGCAGGGCCAGCCCTGGCGGGGAGCAGAGCCCGGGGCACGCTTGGAAGGGGCCGCAGGCCACCACATCTCACCCAGGACGGTGAGCCCCGTGCCAGGCTTACCAAGAGGCCGGCACCAGGCAGAGCACCAGCACACTCGTGTCCCCACCACACTGAGCCCCAAACGCATCCCTCCCTCTCCTGAGAAGCAACCACAGAGGTCCTGCCCCAAAAGCCCGGTCCCCACCAGCCCCACTGCCCCCCTGACCTTAATTAGAGCTTCAGTGCTAACGAAGCCGCCTCCCAACCAAGGTTTTCACCTTGCGGTGCCTGCGCCGCAAACTGCCTGCAGCTCTCTCCGGGTGTAGGAAACGCAATGTGGAGAGTCCGTCCGTCTGTCTGTCTGTCTGTCTGTCCCCAGCCAGCGCTGCCCCACGGGCAGCAGCCGAGAGGGCAGAGCCGCCAGATGTGAGCAGCTGGGTGGGTGGCGCAGTGTGCGTGGGGGGGGGGGGGGTGCTGGAGCCCACCCCGGGGCTCCCCAGCCCGGCCACGGGCTCCTCTCCGGATGCCGGGTGCTCTGCAGATGATTGGGATCCCAAGAATGCTGGTCTGAGCGGCGGAGGGGGCAGTCCGACCGGCTGGGTTGGTCCCAGCTGGTTTCTGTTTCCGACACTCAGACACCAGCCTCAGGTCGCTCCGGCGGGTTTATCAACACTGCCCTGGTCGGAGACGCCCCAAACCTGCTCCCCCGAATCCCCAGCCCCGCAGCGCTGGGAGCTGGGGGGTGCTCTGACCAGCACCTCCAGTCGTGTCACTCGCTGGAGGCCAGCAACGCCCAGGGTGACCGACCCAGCATCCCTGACCCCAAAGAGCGGCACCCACGGCCAGGCCAGCCAGCAGCACCCGTGGCCACCCGAGGGGTTTCCCCAGGAGGGCTGGGCTGTGGTCCCCACGCTGGTGGCACTGCTGTCCCCCCAACGAGGGCACAGCACGGTGGCCACGGGCTGGTCCATCCTGCCCATGGCTTGGTCACCCAAGGTATCTGTGGTGGTGGTGGGGAGGGGGGGGGTGTCCTGCCACCCCACACCAGAAATGTGACCCCCGGCACCCACGGCAGAGCATCCCTTGGGCACACGGCGGGGACAACCTCGGGAGCCTGCAAACACCGCCCCATTGGCACGGGCTCCCCCCCCCTCCCCGAGCTGCAGCCTTGTTTGCACAGCTGCGGCCCCGCTGCCCTAACCCACGCACGTACCCCGGCCCCCCCGCCAGCCCCTTCCGGCCCTCGGCGTGGGCTGGAACGGCTCTTCCCTCCCGCTGCCCCACGTCCCTCCCCGGCACAGAGGACGGGAACATCCCGGGTGCCACGCCACGCCGCCTCGGTCACAGGGACCCCGGGACACCCCTTCCCTGACCTCCACACTCAGCATCCCCTCTGCTCACGCAGGACCGTCCCCCCCCCCCCCCACACCAGGCGAGGAGGGGGGACTGGTTTTTTTTTTGGGGGGGATCCGGATGAGTCAGTAAACGGGCATCTCGGCTCCCCCGTGACTCAAACTCCCGGCCGCAACGTCGCAGCCCCCATCGGGGCGTGGGGGGGGGACACGGCGGTTTGGGTGCTGGCGGGTGGGGGGGGCTGGATGGGTGCTGGGTGCTCTCGGCCCCGCGGTATCCGCCCTCACGGCCGTGGGAGGAAGGCCCGGCTGGCTCCGCGTGGCCGAGTGGGAGGGCGGCAGGAAAAGGAAGGAGCTGCGAATGGGAAGAATTGGAGGAAGCGCTTATTTACCCCGCGGAGTATCCCCCGAGGAAGGGCAGGGCACGGCGCAGGCAGACACAAGACTCTCACGGCCGGCTCCCCCGGCGGGGAGGGGGGCTGCTTGCAGCCTCCCACCCCGTTAGCCAGCCCATGGCCTCCCAGTTTGGAGCCAGAGGGGGATGCAAGCCCCAAACTGGGGACCCGGGGAGGTGGCCACTGTTGGGGCTGGGGCGGGGGGGGGGGTTCCCCAGCGTCTGGCTGAGCTCAAGCCCGACCTGTTTTCTAGGACGGCTCCTGAGAACCAACCCAGGACCACCACGGTCCTAATGAAGTGGGTCCCCGACCACCAAAGGCACAGACTGAGCACCCAGCCCAGATCCCCTTGGCTTTGGAGGCTGAGGGGATCACCTCCATGACGGGACTTCAGCCTGGCCAGGGGCACCAGCTCCCGCTCCTGAGTGGGCTGTGACCCTTCTCAGAGGTGCTGAGCAGAAGACAGGGCTCGGGCATGACCCTGCTGGGGTTGGCAAAACCTTGTGAAGGTCCCACACGCCACTTTCACCCCCACCTGCTCCTCTCCGGGATGATACCAGAGGCTTCCCCCCCCCAAAATCCTACCCCATGGTCCCTGTGCGTAAGAGCAGCCCCTGGACCCCCTGTTGTGCCCAGGTCCCCTGGGGTCGCGGTGCCAGGGATGCTCGACAAGGAGCCAGGCTCTGTTTGTCCTCAGCATGGGCGCAGACAAGATGTGGGGGGCACGAGGGGGAGAAAACCAATTTGCCAAAGAAAGCCACACTACTGTGGCATCGGGGGCACATCGCCCGGGAGCGGCGGGCAGCCGTGGCCCCTCTCCTGGCTCTGGGCAAGGCTGGGCAGGCGGCGGGTCCTATCCTGCCACGGACACCCCGTCCTGACCCCCCAGTCACTGCACACCGCGGTGTGACAACCGTGTCCCTTGCAGGTGGTGGATACCCACCCCTGGGGAAGAAAAGCTCTCCTGCCGGGGGTAGTCGCTCACCCA